TGATTTTACTTCTCTGAGCCTCAGACACCCTAATTGAAAATAGGATAATGTGAAGGAAAATAACAACTTGTCGTAAAAGACATAGCATCTAATAGACTTTTACTACACAGAAATTATGGTTTTACAATTATTGTTAATGATAACAATTATTAATATTAATACTGTTGGTATTAACCACAAAGAATTTAGTTGTTACAGTTATAATATTCACTTATACTAATATTTACTTATATTTTTATTCTGGCATAAGTCTAAACAAATACAATTCATTAGCTCTTTCTAGGCTTTAACTCTCTTGGCTAAGCATGAGTGGGAACTCAGGACAATCTCTCTACTTCCTTCCAGTTGTAAGATTTATAAAGGAAATCACATCTGTCACCAATATAAACCACAAACACAAGTTATGATTTTTTTTTGCTGAGAAGTAGTTCTACTTCTGCATTAGTGGAAGTTTCACAACTCACTGAAAGAAGACAGAATGGTGAAGGCAACAGGTTTGCTGGCTAATCTCAACAACAAAATTCCAGTTTAAAAAAGAAAAGGTCATCTACTGGAAAGAACAAAAATAGCGCCTGTGGTTTCCAAAGATTAGTTTATTCATTTATATAATATTCTGATTATTCTCAGTAATTTTCCCCCCAAGATTATAATTTAGAGGCAAAGAGAACAAGTAAAAGGGGAGACCTGTAAGCTCTTGTTTCAATTCCCAGGCCTCCCACCAGCTGTGGGATCCTGAGCACCCCTTCCCTTCTCATCAGGGACAACAGTTTCTCCATGTTGTGGTAGATCTAGAGCATAAGAGTGACCTAGCTCCAACTACTCTCTCTTCCCCACGCCTCAGGAACAAGAATGATGCTAGTATCTTCTAAGTCAGGGCTCAGTCTGAATAAAGAGATATATAAGAACCATGTGTTGAGTTGAACTGAACATACTTTCTTCCATGAGTCAGTTGACTTTCAGAAGGAAAATGGAAATAGTTCATTTTTTAACTAAAACCAAAACAATGCTCTACCGGCATTTTAGCCCTCATCTGAAATCATTTAAGCTGACTAAAAGGACCACTTCATAAGGTGTTTGGACAAATGTTTTCAGCAAGAAAGCAGGAGGCCCGCTCTCAAATATGTTTGAATAAAGCTGGTCTTTCTAAAACTACAATTTTTCTATACACCACACACACACACACACACACACACACACACACACATGCATACACACATGCATACACACACACAGTCTTAAAGGCTCTAAGACATTGTCAGTTTAAAGGTCCTAATAAATGCTACTGCAAGAAGCAATATTTTGCAAGTTTTTCCCAGTAGTATTTGGTCATGAAACATTTTGAGCACAAATGAAGAAATGGTATTTTCTCAAGAAAGGGAAAGGAAGTTGCAAATATGTGTAATATATTTAGAAAATGAGAGCAAATATAAAATCTGTCTTAGAACTTTAGTCACTGTGGGGCTGATTGTAATGTCTGAATATGAATAAGAAACTTTGAGTGAGGCTTAAAAATAGAAACCTCAATGTGGTTAGTAACTATTAGCTTATTGATTGATTGAACTTATTTCCTGCAGCATTATGTAGCAAATAAAGCTCTGAGATATTTCAGGACACTTCCCACAAACTATACATTATTTAATACCTGAAGGGCAAGAATACAGCTCAAAGAGTTGGAGCACATGCTTTACGTATGGGAGGCCTTGGTTTAATCCATGGCTCTCCATAGTCCCAGAACACCAGCAATTCCTGAGCACAGCACGAGGCATAACCCCTGAGTACTACCAGGAGTAAATTCTCCCCCCACCAATAAAAATAAAACATTTTCTAGGTGGAGACATTATAGAGAAGAATATGCCAACACCAATCAGTAAGCAATAAATAAATATTCTGGAATGAATTCATGAAAAATCCACATTTATAAGATATAGTTTTTGAAATGACAAGACCAAGAAAAATAAATAGTTTAACAAAAAGTTTAGGGCTGGAGCAATAGTACAGTGGTTAGGGCATTTGCCTTGCACGTGGCTGACCCAGGTTCGATTCCCAGCATCCCATATGATGGTCCCTTGAGCTCTGCCAGGACTAATTCTTGAATGAAGAGCCAAGAGTAACCCCTGTGCATCGGCAGGTATGACCTAAAATAGTGAAAGAGAGAGAGAGAGAGAGAGAGAGAGAAAGAGAGAGAGAGAGAAAGAAAGAAAGAAAGAAAGAAAGAAAGAAAGAAAGAAAGAAAGAAAGAAAGAGAAAAAGTTTAACATGAACTTCTCAGGCAACAATATATATTTATTGAATGCCTGTCTTATGCCGGGGTGGCGCTAGGTTCTAGAAACAACAGGGTAGAAAAAAAAAATCCTTGCCGGTGTAGGACTTAATGTCTATATGGGGGAAAAACTGTAAGTCTAACTTCATAAAATTATCTGTGTAATTGTGCCTGCATCCAATTGCATGAAAGGAGAGAAGCTCCTGTTCTGATTTCTGTATTGAACAATGAGTTAGGGAACCATACCTTTTTGTTTTGTTTTATTTTATTTGGGGGTCACACCAGCTAATTTTCAGTGATTACTCTTGACTCTGTACTCAAAAATTACTCTTGGCAGTGTTCTGGGGACCACACAGGATACCAGGGATTGAACCTGAATAGACCACATGCAGGGCAAGCTCCTTACATACTGGACTATTGCTCCAGCTCTCAAATACCTTTATACTTTGCTCAATTAGTATGCCTAGTGCCTGACACAGAGCCTATCACAGAGGAGTTGCTCAATAGATTGTGCTGAATTACTTGAATGAACACGTAAGTGAATAAATGGATTAGAATGTACAGTGTAGGAATAAGACAATTCATAATTATCTGCATTTAATATGTGAAGACAGGAAGAAGATCCCAGGAGGAAGCTGACTTCTGAAGGATGCACATCTAGTTAAGAAGAGAGGGAAAGAGTAAGGAAGATAGTACAGTAGGTAAGTACTTGCCTGCGCATGGCTGACCTCATTTTAATCCAGGGCACCTTTTATAGTTTCCCAAGCCCCATCAGGAGTGATCTCTGAGCATAGTGCAGGAGTAAGTCCCTATCACTGCCAGGTGTAGTCCCAAACCCAACATTTTTTTTTAAAGGGAGGGAAGAGTATACCATGGAATACACATGCCAAGAGAAAGCATGACACACCGAAAGGAGGACATGAAAGGGTGTGGTGATCACAAAGAATGAAGTCCTTCATGGAAATGCTGATGAGATGGAGCAGAGGAGGGATAGGACCTTGAAGACCAACTAAAGAGTTTTGTTTTCATCATAGACTCAAAAGGAATATGTTGAATGCTTTAATTCAGAGGAAATGGGAACACAATCAGATTTAAATTTATACTTGTGGAACTAGGGTGGAGAGAGAGAGAGAGGAGGAGGATAGGGATCTAGAGGCAGACTGCCTGCAAAGTTACCACGCTAGTGCCAGTAAGAAGTGATGATGAACATGGGTTACTGCAGTCACAGGGGAGTCTGAGCTGAGAGAAATGTAGAAGGCAAAGTAATACACAGACAAGAGGCTTGCATAGTTGCTACTTGTGGGGAGGGGCCTCTCCAGGGGTGCTGAGAACTGATCCAGCTGAACCTGAAAGCACTATGGAACCTAATGGTACCAGGGACCTAAGCTGGGACCCTGTGTATATCGGATATGCGCTCCAGCCCTTTGAGCCATGTACGCAATAAGTCTTGCGTAATTATAAAGAGTGATGTGTTCACTGTGCTAGGAAATAATGTATCACAGGGGCCCATTAATTCAGTTAGACACAGGGAGTGAAAACTTGAAATGACTATTTGGGCTCAAGAAAATGATTCGGAAAATAATATCCCTGCAGCTTCACTTGTTTTTATTTTTTATCTTATTCGGAACACCTATGTTTTGGGGACATACCTGGCAGTGTTCAGGGTTACTCCTGGCTCAGCACTCAGGAAATACTTCTGGTGGTGCTTGGGGGATGATATGGGATGCCAAGAATTAAATCTAGGTTGGCCAGGTACAGGGCACTCACCTTACACACTGTACTATCTCTCTGGCCTCAGGTTGCTACTAATAAGTCCAATACGTGTGTGCACTCATATTATTTTAAGACAGAAAAAAATCCTATTACTAATGCAAAGCTATAAAAATATTAACTAAACTTATAATGCTAATACTTTTACAATTGATACATACATCAAACCATTATGTGGGAGACCTTCTGGGCATGTGTGAGGTATGGTTCAAGGAGTGATCATGCCTTTTCTGTACAAAGATAAACTGTGTTTCTGTCTTCAACAAGATGTATTTTTAGCACCATTCCCCTTTTAGCATCATCTCTTTTTAAGTAGATCATAAAGAACTGTGCAACTACCATGGAAATGCAAGTGAAGTAATACCTTATTGAGTGTTGGAAAAAAATAACTTCCTAAATTCACTCAAGAGTACTGAAAGCTGAGAAAATAAAGATAAATTCCAAAGAACAATCAAAGGCCTAATTACAAATTTGACTGTGACATCCGTGAATGTTGGCCAGTAATTTATAACAGAACAAAAGAAAAGAGGAAGAAGAGGAAAAAACTGAACAGAAAGATTGAGACAAAGATATATTGTTAAATAAGCACTAAATGATAAAAAAATATTAAAATTATCATTTTTAGAGGTAGTTGAAAGCACAAGCCAAAAAAAAATATTTGAAGAAAATTCTAAGGACTTCAAAATCAGTGAATCCACAAGTTTTGTAGGCATAAATGTGGGTTAAAATGTTTGAGACTATACTTACCTGGCTGGAGCGATAGCACAGCGGGTAGGGCGTTCGCCTTACAAGCGGCCAACATGGCCGACCCGAGTTCGATTCCTCCGCCCCTCTCGGAGAGCCCGGCAAGCTACCGAGAGTATTCGATATGCCAGACACAGTAACAACAAAGTCTCCAATGGAGACGTTACTGGGCCCGCTCGAGCAAATCGACGATCAACGGGAGGGCTTTTACCTTTACCTTTACCTTATACTTACCTGGCACCTGGCAGGCAGAAACCATGATCACAAAGGTGATTTTCCAAGGATGAGGCTTATACATTGCACCTTGATGTGCTAACCCCTCAATTTCCCCAAATATAAAAAAATTCAACTGTATAATTTGTGGTTGGGGGACTATATCCATGCTCTCCCCTGAAGGAAGGGAGTGTGGCATCTCATTATGGTAATGTTCTTATTTAATTAAATTAATTAGGGAATTTTATATTTTGTGTTTATTCATTGTTTTATAGTTTGTGTTTATTCATTCTTGTAAGTTTACTTAATAGCCAACAGCCTCCTACTGAAACGCTTGGGGCCAGAGCTATAATACACTGGGTCAGGCGATTTCTTGCCTTGCTTGCAACTGATTTGGGTTTGATCCCCAGCATCCATCTGATCCCCTGAGCAATGGCCAGGATTGATTCTTGAGCACAGAGTCAGGACTATGTCAGGACATGTGACTGTGTCCCAAAAACAAAAATAAAAACAAATTTAAAAAATAGTGGTCCTAAATTGACATAGGTATCAGCTCCAAATAAGAGAGTTCAATTGCAAATGATAAAAAATATATATTTACATTAAAGTAACTGCATGCTTACATAATATTAGGACTTTTCCTCTCCTTTTCCTTCCCCATGAAATGATTTTTTTGTCTAGCACAAAGGATGCTTGCATCACCCACATTAAAAAGTATGCAGATGCTTGCTTGTCAAGTCCGCATTCTCCCTTGAACACATATCTTGTTTCTTGTCTATATGTTTCTTTGCTTAACTGTCTTCGACTCTGGAGAGTCTCTCAAATGTGTGTGTCTCCCATTCTCACGCCTCATATCTTCCTAAATAAGTTTCAAAAACTTTCTTACTTTACCTCCTCCCCCCCAAAAAAAAATGCTTGCGGAGACAAGAAGATATGCTCAATCTCATTGAGCAAGCAGTGGATTTAAAGACAGTTCTGATCCTGATATTATGTATGCCCTGTAGGTCCTTCTGGAACCCAAGGGGGTAAAAAAGTCTTTCAAAAATAATTTACGTATTGACGTCAGCAAGTCCCAAGTAAAACAATTAAGTGCTTTCAACTCATTTTATTGCAAACAATTGTGCATTGAGAGTGAGCTATATGTCTGCCTTGCCATAGGAGTTATTGAGGGCAAGAAGTTGAAGAGTCAGTTCCTAACACCAAGAAATATAGAGTTGATTTATCAGATGAGTCATACACATATGAAACACAGCAATGTTCGGAGAATCATGTAACTGATTACCAAAGTGATATTCACTGGAGGTACCAAAGGAGGATAGAGATGGGAAGATTAGGATCAGTGGACATTATCATCTCATGAACCAAAACTTGATTTGAAACTTGAAAATATTTGGATAGGTCATTCTTGGCAGAAACAACAATCTTGGGGGATATGAGTGAGGGAGTATGATTTTTGGTATGTTTATCATTTAAAAATTTTAGGTAAAATTTCTAAATGATATTATATGGTTAGGAAGGACTATGGGAAGTTTTTATAATCAAGGTAACTGATTTGGGCTTGTAGAAAGAATATACAAATTTATTTATATTTATTTGGGGAAAAGATTGAACTACATTTGGTGGTACTCGGTATTCCTGGCTTTGTGCTGGGGAAGGGAGTTGGACAGGGCTGGGAACTGGAACTTCAGTTTTTAGAGCTGTCTCCACAGCCCTGAATTTATTATTATATGTGTCTATGTGTATGTGTATTTAATAGCACTGTCCTCCCATTGTTCATTGATTTGCTTGACCAGGCTCCAGTAACATCTACATTGTAAGACTTGTTACTGTTTGTGGCATAGCGAATATGCCACAGGGAGCTTGCCAGGCTCTACTGTGTGGGTGGGATACTCTTGGTAGCTTGCCGGGCTCTTCGAGAGAAACGGAGAAATCGAACCCGGGTCAGCCACGTGCAAGTCAAATGCCCTAACTGCTGTGCTATCACTCCAGCCATGTGTATTTAATAGCTAGAGAAATTGTTGAAACTTAGGATATCATATGATGCCGACATATGTAATACTCCTCTGAAATGTGTTGAACTTAAACCTCATCAACCCAGAATGAATTCTGAATTCAGAGTATGTGCTCACTTTGTTTTTTTTATTTAGGAACTCATATTTAGCAATATATAGAAACATTGTTTTAACTTAGACCTGTGTAAGATTTGAAATAATAAAATGATTACAACACTTGAGAACGCATGTGATTTGGGTTTTTAATTGTAAATGATAATTTATGAAGAAGACTATTAACCTGTTTTACTACAAAGTTAGTTATAAAATATATAATTAACTTACATATTTTAGGTCTAAAACTGACTTATATAAGGCTAAAGTCTATAGAACACATCTGATGCTATCTGATGATAGTATGTAATCTGGATGTAGCACTGTCCTCCCGTTGTTCATCGATTTGCTCAAGCAGTAACGTCTCCATCGAGAGACTGTTGTTACTGTGTTTGGCATATCGAATATGTCACGGGGAGCTTGCCAGGCTTTGCCGCGTGGGCGAGATACTCTCGGTAGCTTGCCAGGCTCTCCAAGAGGGGTGGAGGTATCGAACCTGGGTCAGCGGGCCGGCCGCATGCAAGGCAAATGCCCTACTGTTGTGCCATACTGCTGTGCTCCAGCCCCTAATTAGGCACCAAATTTAAATTATACTGTATCATTTATTTGAATGCTAGCATTTACAATACATTTCTTCTAACATATTTAAAGATCACCCAGGAAGAGACAAATACAAGGTTTAAGGTGCTTCCTTACATGCAGCCAAGCCCAGTGTATTCCCCAAGAGTTGGGAGTAGCCCCAGAGCACTGCTTGACCTGGTCTGAAAATTCAAACAATTCATATCATCCAATCCTAATAATTTGCATCTCACACTTTGAAATATGTCTGGTTTAAAATCATCACAGGAGATGTAACAAAGCATGAGGGCCTGGGTTTGAAACCTGGCTCAGGGGACCAATCTGGATATATATTATAATAATATCATAATGTATATTGTTACGTATATTATAATGTATATTATAATAATATTATAATATTTTATGTGGCCTGCTATTTCGACTTCTTGTTTTAATGTCATAATTTCTAAACCTATGAAATCACTCAAAGCATAATCATTATCAATTGCGTTCTCCAGAAAGTTTTGCTTCCTTCCAATAAGTTCCTCAAATCCTATTCACAGCTTTCCTGTGTTTCATCTGCGTCTGTATGTAGAGCATTTGACTGGCATCTTCTGGCAGCTGTGTTTCCTCTAGGAGATTAATAGTCTTCTCTCTGCTGTGGCAAGCAACAGTCACTTCTCCTTGTAGTGAGAACTGAAACCAGTACCACCATATGCCATTTCCTGGACACTTCCTAACAAAGTTCTCTTCCCTTCACCCACAGAAGTTGTAGTTAAGTAGTTAGGAACCTAGGTCTCGGATTTAAAACATCAGCATTGTCATTTACCAGTTACGTGCTTGGACAATTAGCGTTTTTGTAGTCAGCTTTCATTTTTTATAATGGGATGGTAATAATTCCAATCTATCAAATTATTATCAATATTAAATTAACACATGAAAAAGATTTAGTGTTTGACCGCTAAGTACTCTATAAAGGTTGAAGTATTGCTATCACTTTTATTATCTCTCATCCAAATTATTATGTAGGTTTCATGAGGACATTACTCATCACTTTTTAACTTTTTCCACTCAAAATAAGTTTTAATTACAATCATAGCTATTATAATTTGACTAAGTGAGAACTTCTCTGCATATACACTTCTATGGAACATGAATGCAAACATAAAGTAAGAAAATATACTACCATAGCATTTGGTCCTGACCCTCTTAATTAATCACTTAATCACTTAACTTCCCGTTAGTCGTCGACTTGCTCGAGCGGGCGCCAGTAACGTCTCCATTTGTCCCTGTCGCATGCTAGTGTAGCCCAATGGCATATCTTCGCTCCTCTTAATTATCTGGGGAAAATTTTTGCTGATATTGACAAATAATAAATGTCTTTTAACACCTGATGCCCCTGACAGCCCTGAAATTTCCAAATGATTTGCTTTCTAAAGAACCTTTGGCACTATACCAAAGGTTAGTATGAAACTTCTAAATGTATAAAACATGCATCAACTAGTACATCAGCTATTGGAAAACTACTGAACCTTACTCTGGGGAGAACTAAAATGCTGTAGAGCAATATAATTTTTTGTGATGATCTTTTGTGATTTTTTTTTAGGATTTCAGCTGTGAAAAAAGGCAAACAAAATTGAGGAATTTGTTGCAGGTCATAAAGAAATGACATCAAATGGACTTAAGATTTTATGTGATAGATACAAAAGAAATATCAAGAAACACTTATAAATAATAAATGCTATTAAAATGGGTCATTACAATCTCCTGTGAAAGTTCTGAACAAGTGAGGACTTAGCAATGATCCTGTTTTAACTCAATAATTCAAAGAATAGTTTGGAAGCAAAGAGAGTAGATTTGATTATCTTGTTAAGGTTGGTTCATGCTAAAATCTTGACAGAGATCTTTTGGTATTCCCAAATCTCATGTTTCTCAACTGAAATTGTAGTGTAGCATCGTAACACTAAACTATATGTCGATACTGCATTGAGATTGGGTGCTGAGATTTTTGCACTAAGGGTGCTATAGATTGCAAGGACACAATGTATTACTATTTGGTAAAGTTGGTAACTTGAAGAAAATGGAGACATGCTAAAATGTTTAAGTATTTAAGTCTTTTTTAGAGTTTCTTGACTGGAGCGATAGCACAGCAGTAGGGCGTTTGCCTTACAAGCAGCCAACATGGCCGACCCGAGTTCGATTCCTCTGCCACTCTTGGAGAGCCCGGCAAGCTACCCTTGATATGCTAAAAACAGAAACAAGAAGTCTCACAATTTGTTGTGAGATGTTACTGGTGCCCACTCAGACAAATCGATGAACAAAGGGAGGACAGTGCTACAGTGTGTATATTTGATGATCTTTTCTTGAGCTCATTAAATATGCCAGAGGCTTTGATGATCTGAGCTAGAGAGAGACAGATAATTTAAAAAAATGAATTAGAAATTGTGCAATAATGATGTGTATTGTAATAAAGGGTTGGAGCGAAAGCACAGCAAGTAGGGCATTTGCCTTGCACGC